ATTTAAAAAAAAAAAAATGTTTTATTTTTCACTGTTTTCTTTGTTGTTGTTGTTGTTTGTTTTTTTTCCCCTCTTTGGTTTCGCGTTGATTAAAATGAAGAAAATTGTGACGTCATTATTAGTATTGACGTACTAAAATAAAACGATGACGTAATCGAATTGAATTAAATCATCTAAACAAAAAAAAAAAAAAAATTTTAATGTCTTCTTAATGTTTATTTAAAAACTTTTATTAAATTTTTCTGCTGATTTGTATTCCCCTGAGCCACCATCGTTTCGTAGCCTTTTCTTTCTCTCTCTCACTCTTTCTCTATTCATTCTCTCTCTGTCTCTCTCGAACTGTTTCGAAAAAATAAAATAAAAAATTTAAAATATATACGTTTTTTTTTTTTTTTTTAATATGAGAAAACGACTAAAACCGCCATTTTTTGTTTGTTTGTGGTCTTTTTATAATAAAGAAAAAAATTTTGGTAAAGGGAAGTAGTAGCGGAGAAACAGGTCGGGGAGAAGAGAGAAAACGGGAGGGGAAAGCGAAGAGGTTCGGTCGGGTAGTAGGAAAATAAATAAATGACAAAAAAAAACCTGAAAATCTCAAATTACAAAAAATAAATCGTTAAACGTAAAACGATTTGAACTTGTCACACACACACACAAAAAAACTTTTTCAATTTTTTGGATAAAATAATAATAATAATAATAATAATAATAATAATAATAATAATAATAATAATAACGTTAATTTATTCGAAATGATAATAATGATAATATTTGTAATATTTATTTAATTTATGTCGCCAGCCATGTTTTCATCCGAAAACGAAATCAATAAATTGATTGAATTATTAATAAAATGTTTAAAAAAAACATTTTTTTTCTCGTATTTTTTCAACGTAAATTAATAATAATAATAATGATGATAATAATGATGACGATGATGACTACAAAACACGAAAAAAAAAAATCAAGAATCAAACAACGAATTGAAAAAAAAAATAAAAAAATTCGACAATCGTAAAATAAAAACTTATCGATCGACTAACAAACCAACAAACAAACAAACAAATCGAACAAATCCAACAACTAAATAAAATTTAAACAAAAAAAAAAAAAAAACGTTTATTTATTAATATTATTATAATATCGACGTCGAAATTCACATGACATTTTTTTCTTTTCTTTCCTATTATTATCATTATTATTTTAATAATATTAAAAATAATATATATATATATATATATATATATATATATCGAATATATATACTATTATTAACCGGAAATTGATGAGAGAGAGAGAGACAAACTATTAAAACAAATTGATAACAGCGGGAACAAATTATTATTTTTTTAAGGTACGACAACAACAACTTGAAAAGAAATTTTTTAAAAAAAAAACATTTTTATTTATTTATTTATTTATTTAAATGTGACCGCGGCGGTTGTTCGTGTCGTTGTTGTTTGTTGTTGTTGTCGTTGTTATTTTCCAAAAGAAACAAAAAAAAAAAAAAGACAAACTATATATATATATATTTTAAATATTATATTGAACGTATTTTAAACGATAATGATAATGTAGTATAAAATATTATTAATCTTAACGTAATTATACTAAAATATTATTATTATTATTATCATTCTTCTATTTATTATTATTATCATTACGTCTTCTGCTTCTATTTATTTATTTTTATAAATTTTAAAGTTTTATTCGTAATTTTTTCCTTCTTTTTTTTGGACGTTTATTAAAATGGCAGCAAGTAAAGTTTGAACGTAAAAAGAAAAAGAAAAACCGGAAGTGACGAAATAGATATCAAAGATGAATAGAGGGGGAAAATGGTAGGAGGGGGGCGAATGAATTTCTCAATGAAAAAATGATAACGATAACGAAAGCGTTTTAAAAAATTTGAATAAAAAAAATTTTATTTTTTTATTTTTTTTAATTTTTAATTTTTATTTACGGTCATCGAACAAATATGGCCGCGAAAACGTCAAATAAAAATAAAGAAAAAATAATTTTTAAATAACCTTTTAATTTGACCTTTAACGAAAAAAAAAAAATTGTATAAATTTAATTTTAATTAAAAAAAAAAAAAAAGAGAAAAAAAGAAAAATTACGAGTCGATATTTTTTATTTTTGTTTTTCCTCGTAAAAATTTTGCAAATCGCCATTTTTAATTTTAATTTTTTCTTAATAAATAATAATAATAATAATAATTAGGTTTTTGTGTTATAAATAAATAAATAAATAAATAATTGAATAAATTTAAGCAGACGATAACGATTAAATTTTTTTAAAATTTATTTAAAATAAAAGAGAGAGAGAGAGAGAAAGAGAGAGAAAGAAAAAAAATTTCCCGCTGCGATTATTTGTTAAATTTTTACGAAAGAAGTCAATGAAGAAGAAGAAGAAGATGTTTTTTTTTTTTTTTTTTTTTTTTTGGATAAATGATCTTGGTCAGTAGTTTTGGTTATGTTTTTTTTTTTTTTAAATTCTGGAATTTTCTTCGTATTAATAACAATAATAAAGACAACAACATTCGTTTAAAATTTTTTTTTATTATTGTGGCACCACCACCTGCCATTTATAAAAAATTGATCAATAAAAAAAAAAAACTTCCTTCTTAACGAACGAATCACATCATTTTTTTTTTTAAGTTTTCGTGCTATAAAATTATAGCACGAATAAATTTTTTTATTTTTTTATAATTGAATCAAGTTTTTCATTTCCATTTTTTTTTTCATTTTGGTTAGTTTTGTTGGTACAATTTAAAAGAAATTTAAAAAATTCAAATTATTATTATTATTATTATTATTATTATTATTATTATTATTATTATATTTATATTTAATTTTCAACCATGAGAAATTTTATTATTATTATGATTATAAGGTTTAACTGGATAAAAGTTACTGGAGAATTTTTTGTTTTTTTTTTTTTTTTAAACTGATTTTAAATTAAATAAGTGTTTGTAAACGTGTTTTTGTTTATATTAAATTTTTATTTAAAGGAAAGGGGAGGGGAGGTAGGGGAAGGGAGAGAGAGAGAGAGGAGGGAGAGCGGGAGTGAGGGAATAAGGGGGGAGGAGATTTTCTTCGTTCCAGTTCTAAGGGGAGAAAATCTCTCACAAATAATTTTGTAAACTCGAGGAAATTTAAAGCGGATATTCATTTGATTGATTATTGAAATTCGAATAAAATTATTAATAATAATAATAATAATAATAATAATAATAATAATAATAATAATGATGATGATGAAAAATTTAAAGAAAATAAAAAATTTTTTAATAATTTATTACCGCGGATTAATAATACAAACCTGCAAAAAAATAAAATTTCCAAAATATTAAAAAAGAAATTTAACAATTTTAATAATGATAATAATAATAATAAATAGCGTAGGATGAAGTTTGACAGTTTGAACTCAATTTATTTAATGTTTATTATTATTATCATTATCATTATTATTATTATTTTTTTTTATTAAATTGTTCTTGTGACATTTAAATAACGGCTTTTTTTTTGTTGTTGTCCATCTTTTTTTTTATTATTTCGCTGGAAATTTTTTTTTCTGTTTTTTTTGAATCTGGAGTAATAATAAATGATGATGATGATGATGATGATGAAGATGATGAAACTCGAATGATAACAGTAGTAGTTATCATTCTGAAAAGTGTAGGTGAACAGGTTACGTAATTAATACAAAAAGAGAGAGAGAGAGAAAGATGTACTTATTTATACGAATTCATATATGAATAAATTTTATTTTATTTTATTTTATTACTCGTAATAAATTCCCACGACAGTATTTGAACCGATAATGTCGTCGTCTAGTTTCATTTTTATTATTATATTATTTATATTTTCGTGTCGCGTTATATATATATATATATATATCTTATACATTCTTTTGATTTCTTTTCTCTCTCTCTCTTACTATCTCTCTCTTTATCTATGCCATCACGGCCCCTTTCGTAATAATAATAATAATTTTTTCTCACGTTTATTTAAAAAAAAATTGGATCGTGTCATCATTTGACTGGAAATATTTATAATTAATAAATTTCATCCGCGGTAATAATAATAATAATAATAATAATAATAATAATAATAATAATAATAATAATAATAATAATAATAATAATAATAATAATAATAATAATAATAATAATAATAATAATAATAATAATAATAGTAATAATGATGATAACGATAACGACGATAATAATAATAATGATAATAATGATAATAGTTTTACCGTTTAACGAAAAAAACATCCGGAATTTTTTTTTTTTTTTTGGGTTTTTTTTTTCGTATAAAGAAAATAAAAAATTTTATTACTATTATTATCATTATTATTTAAATAATTTGATTTTTAAAAAATATTTGAAATTTGATATCGTACGCATGCGTTCTTTTTTTTCACGACGCGCACGACGACACACACGCACTCACTAAAACCCCCTCATATAATTTAATACTTAAAAGTATACATGTAAAAAAATAATAATAATATAAAAAAAAAAGGGAATGATAAGAATCGTTGATAAAAAAAAAAAAAATTTTTATAGTTTATAATAAATATTAAAAAAAAAAAAAAAAAAAAAACCGTTTACGATTTTATACTAACACGCTATAATATATACGTGTATAGTATTTAATCATCATCATCATTATCATTTAAATCGTTATGACATTACCGACAAAAAAAAAATAAATTATTATTATTATTTATATTTTTACGAGTATTTTATTAAGTATTATATAATAATTTTATATAAATATATATACACGAATCCGTACGAATATATTATTATAAAATAAAAAACGTTTTTCAGTATAAATGGTAAAATTATAATAATAATAATATAAAAAAAATATTAATAAAAAATAAAATGTGTATAATATTTAAATATAAATACGCGCGCGTAAAATAAAATGTGGGGGGGTACACGCGCTTGCGCACGCGCGCGTAATTTATAATCGATATTATATATACAGTTAAAATTTATAACTGTATAAATGACTCGGGGGCGGAAGTTGCGTTATCATTTTTGATAACAGCGCATCCGGATTATATGCGTAGATTTTTTTAGGATCGTAACGTTCCGCTATCCTTATATCCAAAGCCTGAACTTGTACCTGTAAACTTTTATTTTTAGCATCGCATTCTAATTGTAATTTGTGATAATCCGTTTCCAATTTCGTACGGAACGTTCTGGAAGGTTAAAAAAAAAATAAAAAATAAATAAAAATCCAACGGGAAATAATTGATAATGATAATAATGAGGAGAGGGGGAGGAAGAAATAAATACTTTAATGCATCCAAATGAGATTCGATGGTTTCGATATTTTTCTTTAGGTTCACAACTTCTTTGTTTAAACCGTGGAATGGAGGGTCGGCTGTCGCTTCGAGTGAGGGTCTGAAATATCTGTCTGAACATCGAGTTTCAGCGCATTTCAAATCGTTTTTAACGTCGATTAAAAATTTTTCCAATCTTACAATTTCCGCACTTGTCACTTTAATTAAATCTTCGACCTTTTTGTAAAAAAACCATACGGACAATTAGAGGATTGTGTGGGGGGTGAAAGGGGAGGGATACGAGGGATGGGGGGCTTGATAATTACTTTCATGCACTGATATTGACTTTCGTTTTTCTCTCTATTTATTTCGTAAATTCTTTTTCTCATTTCGTAATCCGTTTTATCGAATTGTATTGTGTATTCGTTCAACGACACTCCTCTCGTGCTCGACATTCTCTCCCTCAACTTTCTAGATTTTTGTATTTCCGCCAAACCTTTTTCTACGAGACCGTACACGACTTTGGTCCAATCTTCGATTGATATCATTCTGAAAATTTAACCTCATAATTATTTTCATCTTTCACCCGAAATAGTAATAATAATAATAATAAGTTAGGTTTGTACTTATCGGGTCCTTTCGTAGGTTCGACTTTGAACGAGACTCCCGTGTCCATTTTTTCAATGGCCAAACATCTTTCTTCGATTGCCAAAACGTCTTTTTTAAATTCTAAATTTAATGAAACTTTGGTTTCGACATCTTCGAGTGACGATAGGGTTTCCCATGCGAGAATGCAATCTTCTTTTAAACGTTTTTTTATATTTTCCAAAAGTTCTATTTCCTGTTAAAAATATATATATTTTTATTAATAATTCTTTTATGTGTTTGTTTGTTTGTTTGCGCGATGGACAACGAACAAACATTTTTAATTTCATTTGTCGCATCGTCGTCTCTCGTTATTTCATTTTCCAATTTTTTATCCAAACAATTTAAACCTTCGATGCATATCGTTAACCACTTGTCGCATTTTTGCAAAAACGTTTCCGTTTGAAATTTTTCATCTTCAATTAATTTTTTTTCATTTGCTATTTTCGGAAGTATCGTTTCCGCATATTCGATCAATAATTCTATCTCGATTTTCCTATTTAAAAAAAAAAAAAGAAAAAAAAAAAGAAAAGAGAAAAACACGTTAAATCTCGTGTTATAGACTATAAAATAAATAATTAAGGATCGCTATAAAACGGAATCCCTTTTTACCGATCGTGAAGTTTTAAATTATTGTAATAAGTTTCCCATTTTTTCGACACTTCCAAATCGTATCTTATTTTTCTACTCGCGTTTCTTAAATCTCTACAATCCGAATCTTTTCCTTCTAGAAGATTCCTTATTTTTCTAACGTGTTCTCTCCATTTTTCAATCGTTCTTTCTTTCATCAACGGTTTCAAACTCGGAAAATACATTTTCAACTTTATCAATAATAATAACAATCAATCACAATAATAACAATAACAAAGTTATGATTTTAAATTTACGATTAAATGATTAGTAATAATAATAATAATAATAATAATCAAAACGAACGTCGCCGAACTAAAAAAAAAAAAAAAAAAACCCGTTAGAAAATTTTTCCGTTCGATTTTATTTTCTAAGATTTTTTTTTCAAAAAAAAAAAAAAAAAAATTTAAATTTTTTATAAATTTAAATATTTTTATAAACGCGATAAGAATTCAAACGTGAACCTAGTCATTGATAAAATGTTCTGCTTTATTTTTTTTTTATCTCCTGACACGTTTTTTTTTTTTTTGTTATTTAAAAAATTGAAAATATTTTCGAAAGTGGAAAAAAATTTTTTTAAAAATGGCGGGAAAAATTAAAAAACGTTAACGATTGATTGATTTTTTTTTTTTTTTTGTGGTTATTCGTATTTGAATTTAATAATTCAGGTACAAGCAGAAGACAGAAAAAAATTTTTTTTTTTTTTGGGGGGGTATTTAATCGCGTTTTAATGATTTTCACGTGACTATGTTTTTTTCTTTTCATGTTTCCGACAACCGAATTTCATTCATGAATGAACCAAACGTTTTTTTTTTTTCTATTTTCGTAAATGAATGATAACTAAAGTCGTTTTTGACTAAAACCACGACTACCACGACCTGAATTTTTTTTTTTTTTCGCGGGGAGGGGGAAGGCGCATTCACCAAATTCATTATGAAATAAACACCTCACACTTCTCCTTATTATTATTATTATTTATTTACAAAATTTTATGTAAAAACTATTTGAAAATATTTTCACAGGATCCGAACAACAATTTTTTTTATTATTACGTTTATTAATACAAATAATATTTTTATTTATTTATGTACGTAATTTAATTTTTTTATTTTATTTTTTTTTGTAAAATAATATAACGATGCCGCGAATTATTTATTTATTTATTTATTTATTTAAAAATAATAATAATAATAATAATAATAATAATAATAATAATTTTTTATTAAAAATAGAGTCCGAATATGAAATATTTTTTAAACTAGGCAACCTTCACATTTACGATTTTATTATTTTTTATATATAATAATAATAAATATTAAATTACGACTGCATCAATTTGCATAATCTTATATAATGAGATCGGCGGTTTGTGTATAAAAAAAAAAAAAAAAAAAAATGTCGGGATCGGTCGGTTTCGTAGGAGGAGTCGGATCCTCGGTTTTTTTATATTAATAAACTCAATCTCGTAAATTGTGGAAAATTTAAATGTCAGCCAAAACGAATTCGCATTTTTGTTGTTTTGTTGTTTTAACGCGCGTTTTTTGTTTTTATACCGAACTTTTTATCAATCGTTATCGTCGCTTCCTCCTACCCTCCCTCCTCCCTCTTCACATCCTCCCCTTTTTCTCCTCCCCATCTTAATTTTAATCCGCGATGCGTTTAATTATTATTATTATTAACAATCGTTCGCATATTATAACATACGTGAACTCGTATACGTAAAATTATGTTAATAAGAATTACGAATTTTTTTTTTTTTTAATGATAATGATGATGATATAAATTTTTTAAAATAACCATAATAATATTTACAATATTTATTATTATTATTATTATTAAAGCGAATGTTATTGTAACGGTACGGAAGCGTAAGGGAGGGGAGGGGGGAAATAAAAATTTCTTTTCGGTGGAAAAAAGTTATTCGATTCATTTATTTATTTATTTATGGATTTATTTTTGCAATCGACATTTATATAAGAAAATCCAATATATTTACATAACATCGATTAGGAATATTAATAAAAATAATAATAATAATAATGATGATGATTTTAATGTTAATAATCTTTATTTATTTATTTATTTTATAACGATAACATAACTTTAATGTTATTTATTTTATTTTTTTTTACGATTCGATCTAAATTTTTTTAATACGATATTTATTATATATGTATAACGACGGCGTTACGCAAAAAAAAAAAAAAAAAAAACGCGGCGTAATAAAATATATAATTTTTTTATTTTTTTTCTCACGGAAATTATTTTGAAATGATAATAATAATAATAATAATAATAATAATAATAATAATAAAAATCGGTAAAAAGAAATTAACGTGGAAAGATGATGGTAAAAAAAAAAATAAATAAATAAAATAATTATGATAATTTTTAAAATTTTTCAAAAAATTCTTAATCCGTCACTGGATTATCATTATTATTATTATTATTATTATTATATTATTATTATTATTATTATTATTATGGAAAAGGTAATTAATAAAGTCGTGCACAAAATGTGTAAACAAAATGGAGGAGAAGGAGGTGCATAATGTATATGAATTTAAAATGAGGAGTCACATTTTTAATTTTTATTTTTTTTTTATTAATAAATAAATAATAAATAAAAGTTATTAAATTATAATTCTTTATTAAACTTATTAACTATTATTATTATTATCATCATCATCATACTTTATTTATTTATTTATTTATTTTTTGTTGTTCGTTTTGAGTAAAAAGGTAATTAAACATTTTATTTATTGTTATTAGAGAATGAACGCATCGTATCGTATCGTTTATTTATTTACTTATTTTTTTTTTTTTACCTTGCGTTATTATTATTATTATTAAAATCGGATACGTTATTTTGAGTAAGAGAGTTATTAATTTATTATTAATAAATGTTATTATTAATGATAAAATTAAAATTTAAAAAAAAAAAAATTTTTTTTTTTTTCGTCGTTTTCCGATTATTTATTTTATTTTTTATTTTTTTTGTCAAAGGAGGAAAAAGAGAAAAAAACAACGACATAAATTTTGTTTTTTTTTTTTCTTTTTTTTTTGTTCAGTTCGTTTGTTCAGTTCATTTGTTCAGTTCACATGTTCAGTTTTATCGAAAACAAACAAACGAAAAAAAAAAAAAAAAAAATTCAAAGGTATAACCTTCGTGAAAAAATGCAACCTCTTATTATTCATTTAAATGTTATATTTTTTGTTTATAATAACATGAGAGGAAAGAGGTTGTTGGTAAACGTTTCGTTAAGCGGTTTTGCCAACTTTAAAAAAAAAAAAAAAAAAAAAATTTAATTTACAGTCTTTGTGGCGCACGAATCACTCGGATTGTTGATTTAAATCGTGATCTCATAATTACTTAACACGGTAGTTATACGACTTCAAATTAATTGCCGTTTCTCTCTCTCCCTCTCTCTCTTTTTGAGTGACTAATTATTATTATTATTATTATTATTATTTTCACTTTCAAACACGACAAGGTTTTAAAAAACCTACTCGTCCGGAGTTTTTAAGCATTCTTTCCAGGTTTTAAAACTGCTGATGCTGCTTTTAAAGAATGTGGACCGACACATATAACGCGATTTCCTTTACGGTTTCTTCTTTTAAATTCTTCTTCGAATTTCCTTTCATTGAGTGTGGCATGGCTCCCAGTGCTCCCACGATGATCGGAATCGTTTTCATCTTTACTCCTCACATCCTGGATATTTCAGCCTTTTGCCCGCTTTTTTGACAGGCATAGTTCTGTCAGTGTGGATTTGTTGATCATCATATGGACCCACTGTCGTAACCGGGTTGGAATGTGGTTGTACCATTTCTTGGGTAATCCATCCATTCCACAATCCCGACTGTCATTCCAGTGAAGTTATATTGCAAATTTTATTGTGCCTCTCTAGGCATTTATATTTTGCCGACATCGAACGACCGGAAATTAAATATTTGATGGCTTCCGATCGTGATTGGTAAATTCGGCGGACTCATCGTGTTGGCGGTCTTTAAGAATTACAACTTCTCGTAATTGTACGTCCGCGAGGCTTTATTATTATTATTATTCTTAACAATTTTTTAAAGAATTTTTTTTTGCCACCTACTCATTTGCTTTCATTTTATTTTTAAATTGTAAAATTGTGAAAAACTTTTGCTAAGGGATAAAAAAAAATTGAAAAATTTTTATTTTGCAGTGTTGGCAAAATTGTCGGTTTTATGCATTTTCACCTTCTTTTAATTTTTAAGTTTTATTAAAAAATAATAATTACTATTATTATTATTTGTGATCTCTCTTCTTTCTCTCTTTTCTTCTTCTTCCCTTCGTCTGTCTCTCTCTTTCTTCCCCCTTCTCTCTCTCTCTGTTTTTATGTTTTTCGATACATTTTTAACTACTTCAATGAGCAAAAAATTATAATGATAATAATAACTTTTTATTAGTGTCTAATAATTTATTTGTCGAATTTAAATTTCAGAAAAAATTTACTCGTTTCCCTTTTTTCCCTTAACCTGTGTCAATAATTTCCTCCCCCCGAAATCCTCCCCCGGATTTATTTTAACGCATCGACTACAGGATTTTATGCCAAATGGAAAGCAAAAGAATTCCCGGGGATTCACTCGTTAAAAAAAACAGAATGAAAATTATCATTATTATTATTATTTTGTATTTTTTTTTAATATTAATATATGGACTTGAATAAACTTTTCTAGTGCCACTTTATTACGCTTATTTAAATATTTCAAAATCGTTTCAAAGGTCGTAAACGTTTACGAGTTTTAATTCAAAAAAAAAAAAAAAAAAAAATTTCAGGTAGGATAAATAAATGTTTCGAGGTACATCATCAGGTTGAAATTGTTTTTCAAACGGTTCAACATCGGTCAGCCACGCTTATTAATTTCCTTTTTCTTCCCTCCCCCCTCCCCGAACCTACTCCCCTCGCTCATTCCTCCTCCTCTCCCCCTTTCCCCCGCGCATTTCATTTTTAACTTTTATTATTATTATTATTATTATTATTATTATTATTATTATTATTATTATTATTATTATTATTATTGACGGTGGTAGCAGTATCGTCGTCTTTATTATTTTTCTTTTTAATATTAATAGTCGATTGCTAATGTATGTAAGTATGTATGTATGTATGTATGTACGTGTGTGTATATTTAACCGGTCGTTATGACGTGTCAT